GAGTTATTCTAACAGGAAATTAAAAATGTACCTTATTTGTCGTGTGGCATGTCTGCAGTTGTTTGAACAAAAATACTAGCGACTGAGCGGTAACAAACTAATGTACACATATTTCTAATGAAAACTCGGTAGGCGAATTTTGGGGAAATTAAATTTATAATGGAAATAATTTAGTACATTAAAAGAGCCTTTCACACAAGCTAAATTTATGGAGTGCGTTTTGATGATACAGGAAGAAGTTATCTCATGAGTGTCAAAATTCTAATTAGCCTATTACTTTGATACTGCCCACATAACAGAGGTATTGATACTTGAACCATTCTAAAGCAATTTAAGAGATCCTTTTAACTTGTACCACATAATTATTTACAATACCTTATTTTATTCTTGGAACCTGACTGTGTTACACACCGAGTAGACATGTGTACTAGGTTGACTTACTAGAGCAGCAACAGATGCAAGGCGCAATTACACCATTTTTATGCTATCGATGAACTTCAAAGTGTGGCTTGGAACGATAAATACGATTATTCGTTTAAAGCATATAAATATTTAATCTGCCAAAATTGCGCTCTATAAACTAGTAGTAACGTACTTGTACCCCACTCCCTACGAATAGGATTTGTTGTTTTTTAAACGTGAACCCAAATAATAATAGAAGGAATATGGCAAATCTGGCTTGTTTCCCTTATGAAATTCAACTGTCGCCATTCGGCCCACTTGCTTCACAGAAATCAGCCAATTCATGGATTTCATTTCCAAGGATTTTACAGCTACGCCAAACGAAGTCCACTGAAATATTAACATCAGCACACAAAGTAACACTTAAACATTAAAAATATTTTCTACCTTGGCTTCTACCAAAAATTACAACAATAGACATTTATTATTTCTATGTGGAACGGCGAAGCGTAAATCGTGTGTGGTATATGTATTATAAGCACTTGCATTAGTAGCAAATTGCACCAAGCAAAATATGTTTGCTAAATTGGGCGATTGCCAAGTGCAAAAGAATTAGTAAGGAAAGGTTTGAGTGTGTTGTTGCTCAGGCACAAACAACTTCTTACTGATTTTAATGACTATCGACTTTCTTCGAGCCTCACTCTTATGCTCTCTGTTTTTTACTAACCAATCAGTGCCTGATCGTAGCTTAATACATTAATACGTTATTCCTAATTTCAGGACCTACGCAATCGTAGAGCGTCTGGCCTCTCATTAAGTCAAACCTAATGATACGGACAATCTCAGTGCTATTGGAAGCAACTAGTCTTCGCTAACGTGCATTGATATTCCCATTCTGTTAAAATTCAGCAAAAAAGCTAAGGACCATATGTGTTAGGTATCTGGGCGTAGCAGATCGTCTTCATCTTACACTACTTTCTTTACCCAGAGGTAATGCCAGATCAAATGCCGGTCAAATGGGGGGGGGTATTTCTCTGATATCCCGATCTGATGCTGCTCTGATCGAATGGCTTCCAGCCAGTAGTTGGATGTGCCGTCACATTGGCTGGTTCGTTCAACGCTACGAATTCATGCGAGGCCAATGGTTTTTTTAATTTTTATCGATGCCTAAGCCCCAAAAATAATGGTAATAGCGAGTGAAGATTACCTCTGTCAACAAATTAAGTAGCACTATTCACACAGCAGAAGAACGGTTACTACGTGCTCTCTAGCAAACTAGAAAAGCCAAATACCAGGTTGTATCTGAAAGATCGCCATGTTGTTGTCTCCATTAATGATAACAATGAATGTTCATCAGTTAGTACTACGGTGTTTGCGCGAAAAGCTACGGTTTGGTTAGAAGTGAAGCTTGAACTGTGACCACACGAACATAAGTGCTGATCCCCGGCTGCGATTTAAGGAACATGACGAGGTAGTGTAAGCATAGACATTCATCATCCGACTAAACCAATTATATGGATTGTGTATTAAAGTATGCTTGCAAGCGAGTTGAGCAATTTCTCTCTGTATACTGTTGAACGAAAATAGGTGTAAGTCCGCCAGGCGTTTTTAGTAACTGTTATGTCTAATTCTAGTAATCTGTTTACCTAATTAGTCTTTATAACTTTCGGACAGTTTTTGATAGATTCCAAATGGAAATAAGCACAGCGGACTCGCAATAATCTCCCGGGATTTTGCGTGCTAACGTAAAGTGGGACAACAAAGCCTGGTGTTCCGTCTGAGTGCAGGAATCGCAAACAACAATTGTTCTTTGTATCCTTGGGAAGCTGTATTACATGGTGCGGATATTAACAGCAGAAGACCCTGGGTTAGCGAACAGATATGAAAAGATTGTGATCAGTCAAGCACAAATTGTCAAAAGCTGCAGGATTTGTACTGAGTGATTGGATGAAAAAAATGTTTAGCTTGATCTAAAAGATTAGCTGTCGAAGAGCAACGGCTCTTTTCCATGGACTGTTCTTGTGGGTCCGTCCTCTCACGCGAATGTCGAAATTTGGATCAGATTGGTCAATTTTAAAAGGCAGAGAAACAGGTTTAATTTATTTTATTGCCCTTATATTTGGGAAATTAGCTGTTGTGGATAACCCTACACGCACAGTCGTTGAAATCCTAGGGGTTTAAGTCTGTTGCTACTGACTACAGGTTCTATATGGGTTCCCCTATATGCAGGGGTGGCTCAAATTCGCAATGTGGCAGACACGGACGTAAGAATCTTATCTCAATCACGTATAAGCTACTTATCTCTCGTTCACATTAGAATAGCTTGCACCCTTGAGACCAGATTCGTGAGGATCCGACCAAATTAAGCAGGAGTCAAGTCTAAACCGACCACGTTTTCACTCTATGTCAATTGTTGGAACACAGCTACCTTTGTCGTCAACGACAGCATTCACGTTGCTCGGACTAAAATATGGCGTTGATTCCGTGAATTAAGGTGTCATTTAGAAGTGTTTCATCAGATCGGCGTACCTTAGAAATACGCAAATATTATCAAAACCTTTACTCACGTTTTCTGTCAATGAGAGGCAATGTGGCAATATGTCACTGCTCTTCGGTTTCCCCGACAATTTGTTACTGGTATGCCAGCTGTTAACAGTAGTTTTTTAAAATTAGCTGAAGTAATGAAAACAAGCATATACTAGACAGGATTGATTTCTGGAGGTGTTTCCGGGTGATTATGTTCGTGACGGATTACGATAAAGATATTGATCTCATCGATGACAACTCACAAATTAGACGCTAACGTTAAGCCGATTCAAACTGGCCGTTAGCGGTTTCAGGTTTTGCTTTGCACTCCTCAAATGCGAAGTCTTATTTTAAGATTAGCAGGGATTGTTTAATACGTTGACTTTGGTTTGGATGAGCTAGATATACATGGAAAATTTAACTGCGTGCGCGATTGTCTCCGGCATGTGAAAGTACATTAAGTAACGAACCGCGTGCAGAAACTCTAAGTACCTTCGCCACTTAGGACGCCGGAGCTTTTTCAATCTTTTATTTTGAAGGTCAAGTTCTATAATATCTCCGTCTGTTCAACAGTGCCATAGGTTATGAAACATTAAACAGTTGAGCGGTGGACATAGTTCAGTAGTTCAAGAGTGTATTCTGGGATAAATAGCATAAATTTACAAGACCTAGAGGATGGATATGTAAAAGAAAATTGAAATCAAAATGTTCAAACGTGAAACGTGATGTATCGATGATTAAACCATCGCACTTTAGCAAACTGTTATAGAGCGTTTATCACTAAAATGAAATTCTAAGCGTCGTTCGAATGTCGTCATGTCTGCTGCGTTCACCACATATTTTCGTAGTACACTTTCCAGTGAGAACTGCTTCTAACTGAGTAAACATAGTTCATACAGTTCAGACGGGAGTGTTGCGTCAATAGTTTCAAGCGGTTGCCTCGGCTTTGTTTGTAAGGGGCTAGAGTCAACAGCGATGTACATGGATGCTCGCTTTCAGTTAGCATCCGGTATGTGAGAGTAAGGTCTCCACGAAGCCATCGGTATTCTAATGGAAAAACACCGATACACGAAGACGCAATTCGTAACTTTAACCGGATAGTCCCCACGTTGCCTTTGTGGCTCTTATTTGGAGATGTTCCAATAGGCGAATGTTTCGTTTTAACCATGGACACCAAGCCTGAATTGCATATTCAATGTGAGGGCTAATGTAGGAGATAATCAGTAGTGTTACTAGCCGTTGCTCAAACTTGCCGGTAGCGCACCTCAAAAGTCTCAATTCAACTTCGCCACGCTTGCTGCTTTCGAAAATTGGAGCGAATTTCCAAGACTCTGTTGCACGATTATACCTAATTCACGTTCACTAGTAACGTGTTGCAGGTGTTTTAACGTGTTACAAGGAGTTGGAAAGGGTGGGAACACTAAAGGTGAAATTGAACTTTTCAGGTTTTCATTGCTAGTGCATGAATAGGAAGTGAACCGCTTAACACCATTGTATCTTGTATAAAACTCTGGTGGTTACAACATGCTAGCACACCGATTTCACAACATGTGATGATTGTGTGAACGTATTCTGTGTGTATGGAGACGAGGGGAAGAAAAACGCTGACTTCATCGCCAGAATGAAGGTGTTCAATCCGTACTTAACTTTGCTTGGAGCATCTAGAATTCACAGATTGGGATCATAAGTACATACATTCATCTGGTTGGATATACTCGATAATATGGAGAAGAGCCAAGTTCAGCAGCGGTTTTGTTGTAAGTTTATTCATGTCCTCAAAGCTAACTTTTTCGTAAATTTTTCCTAGGAGAAGTTTATTGCGACAAGGTAGACTGTTGATTTTCAATTCCAGCTAAGGTGTAGACTGACGGTTTAATTTATAGCATAATAATTGGATCGTCTTATCTAAATCACGGACACACTATGGTATCTGCTCGGGTCACTGTCGAGCATCCCATATTGATTTCACACCAAGCTAACTTGATAGCTTAATGCTATGTATTTGATTTTTAATCCACGGGGTCAACAACGGCCACCTATACACATTTTGTTTCGTTCTACTATTTTGCATTATGTGCGACGCTCGCCGAAATCATTCGCAAAACAATATTTGGCGCCATTATTTACGTGCTTCGAAGATAGAAGATGTATTGACGAAGCTGCAAGCATTTCCCACTCAACTACAATCTGAATGCATATGGCTCTCACCGGGATTTCTGTTTTATGAGGAAGTGAGCTCAAGCTGCTGAAATATTTTTCGTTACTTTTGCAAGCATATTATTGTCAAAACAAGTACTGAAATACTTAAAATAATTTTTGGTTTCCGATAGACTATACGTCGCTTTTGTAATCAGCTGCTTGTTGTTTATATACGTGTATTAGATGTCAACCAACAGAAAGTTAAAATTTCGAAAACGGATATTTATTTGTCCTAGTCTTTCGTTTAATTAAGGTACGACAGTATTTCTCGTAGTACGAGCAAATGGATTTCTCTGATCAAACATTATCTTATATACGCTTTAATATGTAAGAATATTGTTGCAACGGTGATTACTGATTTTTCTTTATGCTAACTTAATTTAAAGGCTACACTTATTTTCTAGTAAGTTAAATGTCGATTATTTTACTCCATAAGATTTTTCGATGTTTCACGTTACCAACCTAGCCTAACCTACAGAGAAGTACGCACATCCACTAAATTCATTTAGAATTGCAACACCGACTATTTTGAACAATAATTGCAAGATTATATTGTTCTAGGGCCTCTCTATTAACAAAATTTGTTTTAAAAATCTATGGAATCTTGACGGTTGTCCGATCCTAGGAAATCAACGGATCCTCTTGAAGTGGAACTGGCATCAGCTTTCAGTTTTCTATCTTAATGCCCAATTCACCAGGGGTTTACAAACCTTAACATGGTGTTCATTGCATCCCTGCATTTTACGGAAGTGTAACTGTTGTATTTCGAGAAAAATCCCATCTTAATTTTAGGAAATTTGAAAAGGACTTTTCATATCCAATCGAACGGACCATTTTATCTCTTACTGCCTGCTGTGCGTGCATTAAGATTTTCCATTTTCGATCACTACATACTTTTGTGTTAAAAATGGTGCTGCAGTTAAGTTGGGGTTGAAGGGAATTCAACAAGTCTGCTAGGTAGAATATTTGCTTGCATGAAATAATATGGCATTGATACTCCGTGTGCTTTTGATATATTTGAGGAAGTTAAAAGAATCATGTTTAGGTCTGGCCGATTCATGCATCTGAACACTGTTACACGGCTTGAACCACATGCACATTTAGTACACAATATCTCAAAAATATCGTTAGTTATATATAAATATATAAATATATATATGCATATATATCCTAAATATTATGCATCATAGTTAAACGTTTGCTACCCTTCTATCCTGCTCTCAGTGCGAACAGGCTTGTGCATCCGATCAGCCTTACAACGAATGTCTACGAATGTGCGAGGTACGTTTGTGTGAATGGTATAATGTGTACAAGCTATCGGCATATATAATGTGTTGGGATTATGTGTTCCGTCACGTTACGTAATAATGGTGTAGAAGACTGTATCAATCAAAACAGAGGTACAGCAAACATTTAAACTGATGCTTCTCTGTCATACGAACATGAAGAGCTATAAAAGAAAGAATAGTAAAAGGGGGAAAAGGGGGAATTACAGTAAAAACTTAGTGCCGTAAACAAAACGCACGGTCAAGGCACCTACACTTTTGGTTAACATACCGCCAAAAGCAAACGACTACCGTACAAATATAAGGCGAAGTCCGCGAGACAGCTTCCTTATAGTGTTCACTAACTTACGTAATAATCGGCAAATTCAGCGCAGATACATCAGCTCTATGCACAAGTAAAACTAGCAGTTTGACTATGAGACAGCAGGAGACGGGCCACTGGTGTCGGCTGCAAGCGGTGTCCTGTAAATTCTCAAGCCCAGCACAAGGCGGGTAACGTGGACTCCAGCCAGGATGGCGAGCCGGACCAACGTCACCAAACTGGTCATCAACGAATTTATCACCGGCTGCCAAGACAACTCTTTCACCTCGGGCTTTGCACAACCCTACGTCTTGTAGAATTAAAATGGTCCCTTAGTTAAGCAGTGTAAGGGCATACGTAGAGTCGCAAAACTCGGCTCTTCAGAGACGAAAGGTTTATCCGACACAACATGCCATGCGAAAATGACAACGATTAAGTTGTAGGAGTCTAGATGTAAATAAGGAGGTCAGTTCCATAACTAACGACTTGGCTGCATGCATGAAATTCTTCCTTTGAATCAGTCAAATAAAATCACTCCAGCGCTACCAAATACGAACCAACAAGCGTATAAGCTGCGAAGCGTAGGCGTCCAATCATCTGCTTTGTTCACTTGCTATAAGCTAGCTGCTTGCTTCGTCATGTAAGTCCATACCGTACTTCTGCTTGCATAATTCCAGCATATCCCTCCATTTTCATGATTAACTGCATCGATGGGACTGAAGATTTCGTACACTCTTCCACCCCGCCTCGTCTTTAATCCCGGCGTCTTTGTGACCTTGCCTCAGATTCACTTCCCCGTTCCCCGTGTCTCCTCAGCTGCAATCTGCTCATTCTGTTAATGTTTCGCTAGCAGTAACTTCATAAGATTTTCGACCGACTTTCACGATCACTACCCCTTTCTTCCATCGCTCGTTGACACCCGATAATGCTTGAATCCACACTCCATCGTTTACTGCTAGCTAAGAAAGCGCCCGAGTACACCGTAACGCCGTTTATGATCGGACATCGGTTTTCTTAGATTCGTTCACAGTTGCCCATGAGACGGCAAGCCTGGATTTAAAAGTTCCGCCGACGCAGATACAAGGGTACTTGTCCCTCTACTGTACAGACTTTGAACTGGACGGAGACCGGTGTTCGGTGATGGCGTATTGTCTATTTCTAACAGACATGGATCTTCATGAGTGATTCTAGCCTTCGACAACAGCTTTTTGGCTTGTTTGACCGCGCTTTTCCGTTGGACTTGATGTGATACGGGCTGGTTTCTGGATGCACAAATTCCCACTTGTTTGTAATAGTCTGGAATGCAGCGCTTATAAATTGTGGGCCATTGTCGGAGACCGGCTTCTCCGGTATCCGTAACTGACGAAATGATTTCTAGGTTTATCGAGTTCTACTTCCGTGGTGGTAGCGGTAATTGGGTCAATCTCGGAATAGTCACTGTAGTAGTCGACTGTGATTAATTAGTCATTTCTGTGCTCACAGTACAAGTCAGCTGTTAGTTTCTTTCATAGTCTTTCTGAAATCTCACACAGCATCATTGGTTCGCTGACTTTGCGTGCCTTGTGGGATCGGCTGGCTGAACAGCTTGATACTAGGTCTCAAATTTGACTCATCAGCCCGGATCAGATCGTCAGTTCACGCGCTCTGTTAATGCTGCAGGTGACACATAAATGGGGTCAATGAGCATGTTCCAGCATCTCTGCGAAGCGGTGGTAGTATCAAATGACGAGTTTCTTTGAATAGCAAGCTGTCATCCATCATTAGTTCCTCCAGAAAGCCAAAAACGACGTTAATTCCTGTGAAAGTTCGTACTTTGTGTACGTCCATCTAAGCAAAATCAATTCTTGCAACGCCGCGCACTTCGCGTCTTAATTCTTTCAAGCAATCTGCTTTTACTGCTAGATGTTGTACTAGATTTACTGCCTCTACTTCTTCTTGTTGGTTTTCGAGTATCGGCATATGAGCTCTAGACAATGTACCCACGGTTAACTTCTGCATCCCCGGAGTGTACACAACATGGATGTCGTATTTTTGTTGCTGGATAAGCAGACTTGAAGACTGCGAGATACACCGTGTAATGTGATTTGCCTATTGCGCCTAGCGGTGCATGATCAGCATACACTGTAGTCTTCCTCTAAAAGCTTAATACTTGAATCGCTCCATCGCATTGACAACAGCGGGCATCGTCTTTCCGATCTGCGCATAGTGTTGTTCCGCGACTTTGCCTGTTTAACTACGAAAATCCAAGGGTTTACCGTCCAGCAAGAGAACAGCACCCAATCCGCTCTGACTACTGTCACGTTGCACCACCAAAGGTTGACCTGGTTCATAGTAGACCAGTAAGGGTGCACAGCTGATGAGACTATTGATGGTTGTAAAGGCGGCTTCCTGCACTTTTCCCAAACTGCTATTTACACCTTTGTGTGTCAGCCTTCAGATGGGGCTCATGATTTAAGCTAGCCTTGGTAAGCCAGAGCTCAACTAATTCGCCATACCTTTAAAGCGAAAACAGCCTTTATGTTCGCAGGTTGTGGCATCTCCAGCACCACCTTGATCATCTCGGGATCTAGCTTTATTCAGTCAAATGGCAGAACGTGCCCAACAGAAATCAATTCTGCTTTATAGAGCTCAAATTCTCGATTTTAAGCTATATGTTCCTTCGCACGTTACCCTACAAAAATGGTGTACATTGATGTCATGTTCCTGCTCGATGCAAACGTACATCAGAGCCTTGTCTGCTACATATGTTCCACCATATAGATCGTCAAAAGCTTGCAGTCATCTCTTTTGAAATATGTCGCACGAGATCAGCAAACCAAACTTCAAACTTCGAAATCACAAAGACACGAAGGGGTGGCATTCGTCGTCAGGGAAGTATATTCCTTGTCTTGGACCACGTGTCTGAAAGCAGATGATAGATCCACTTTTATAAAATACTTCACCTTAGCCAAACGCAACAGGACTTCTTCTAAGATTGGCAGCGCATGGTGATCACTACGTAGTTACTTTAAATGGCTTAGAATGTTTGCACAGGCTCAAATCACTGTTCTTTTTTGTAACAAGGGTGACCAGGCTAACCCAGTCTGTCTGTTTGTCGACTTCAGCTATTACGCTCAATTGTGTTGTTACCTAATGCGATAGCGAACTTTTCACTTAGAGCAAACAGAACGCTTCTAGCCGTCAACGCAGTCGGTCGTATTGATGGATATAGTAACAAATGAACGAAACCTTTAAACCGCCCAAAATCTGGGCTACACACGGACGGATACTGTTCCCCAGCACGTGTACCGCTCGCCACTTATGCACAAAACGATCATAGTTAAAATGAACACTGTCAAGACAATGGATGGAATCAATGCCGAGAAACGGCGTGAGAACTTCCTTCAGGACCATGCACTCTAACTGACGTGGAGATCGGTCTTTGAGTTTGATCACTTGGTTGGTGTCAATTCTCTTCGGTTGGAGCTTTGAGCAGTCCTGCATTCAAAAGACGTCTTGGTCTGGTCGTGCATGAATTCCTGGACAATATTTCGCAGGTATTATTTGGATACTAGAATGGAGTCAAACCGGAAGCGCACGATTTCGTCGCCAACCAATAAACCAGGTAAACTGGATATGGCACGTAGCTCTTCATCAGACGGCAACTGCATTTGCTGCATGTAGGGCATGTACCAAGGCACTGTCTGAGCGATACTTGCCCTTGACGCTACATCTCTTAGTATTAAAAACATCAATGACCCCAAGCGCGATTCCTGCTCTAATGAGACTGTCGGCCACACATATGATAAAATTGCAGGAACGAGCCAGGAGATTTAGCTACATAGCATAGCTCACGACTGATTAGTTCAGGCGCTTGCTCCGAGTAAAAAAAGAGATTTCGAGGATTAGTCTCGCTAGTCTGGCGCACACAGATGACCGTTTCCAGATCAGCTGAGTCTTTCTCGTTTTCTACTGCATGGTTTCAAATACGGAGCGCGCTTCATCTCCGATCATATGCCAAAACATCACCAAGCGATAAACCATCATTTGTTCATTCAGACGCACCAGTACGCAAACAAACGACCCACTTGCTTTTCCAGGTTTTGCAACTACAAGCCAAGTTGTGTTCCTCCACGTTCAACGGGGCAAGCTTTTACATAGCTAGCCACACTCCAAGCAGCAACTGGGCAAGCTTGCCTAGTCTTCTCTGACACCATGCCGCAATCAGTTTATTTGGCAAAGCAAGCCCAACAAAAATGACAACAAGCATATGTGCTAGAAGGCTCGATATAATAACGAGGTCAGTTCGATAACCAACAACTTTGTTGCATGCATGAGATTCTTTCTTTGAATCAGTAAAACAAACTAACGCCAGCGCTACCAAATACGAACCAATAAGCGTATGGGCTATGAAGCGTAAGCGTTCAATTAACTGCTACGTTAGCTTGCATTAAGCTAGCTGATTGCTTCGTCTAGTAAGTCCGTACCGTTCTTCTGCTTGTATAATCCCATCACAAGTAGCACGTGCTCAGGCCAAAGTTACTTATTCAGTGCCATATGTTGTTCTAGTGAACTACCTTAGTTATCATTGCTTAGTACACGTCTACGCACATCATCGTTGCGGACACGCTGGTGTCACCCGACTCCAGCAACGCTCCGCAGACAGCAATTATCAAAGAATTTAAGGCGTTTCATATATGCAGACCGAATTGAGTAAGTCTTACTTCTATAGAGCAGGACGACTAACAATCTGGCTCTGTAAATACGGCCTTTCAGACAGAGAGTAGCTCTCTTCTGTCGTCTAGGATGTCGCAGGTTCACGAAAGCAGTTATGGCTTCCGTGATATGTGAACGGAATCTAATTTCTGTACTCCCATACTTGCTGATGCAGCTGCCAATTATAGTGAAACAAAAACCACCTGGATTTTCTCGTTATCAAGATTCAATGGGTCATCAAGTGGTTGGTGGTCCTGCAGCAATACTTTGTACTTTGAAGGAGCGAAGCGCACACCAATAATGGAAGCACTCTGGACACGCTATTCATGGTTGATGGACGCAGATTCTTCGACTCCAGCGGCAGTAGGGCTGCTGTCAATGGATCTGAAAACTATATAAGTCAGTTTAGTAATGGGAGTCGGGATGGGTGCTAGTGAAACGAGTGAAAAAGAGAGAAGGGAGGCGCCTGTAGTAGCAGTTTTTTGCTTGTCTGCATTGTTATATGCGGCAGATAAGTCGACTCTTGGTAAGCTGCGCGATGGACCATGCAGGATGTAGTTAGGTTTAGGCGAAACTGTTATGTGGGCCGGAATACTGCTGGAGCACCCATACCTAGACAGGAGGATGATTAAGGTCCTCAAGCAAAGCCTTTTGCTCAAGAACCTGTCCGCAAGGGAGCGGCGAAGTAGCAATACCTTTAGTTTACAGAAATGGTTTCCATCTCATTTCAAACCCCTATTCTGGAGGGCCAGGAGACTGAGTTTGTCTGATCTCTAACTACTGACAAACATGTTGTGTGTAGCTCGCAAATAGCTCAAAGAGTTACGCAAACCTACACATCTAAAAGACTGCGTAAATTTTATGTGGTTACACCAAGCTGCTCTTGGTTTATTCGCTATAATAATTGACTACACCCGAATTGTTATGCAGCAGACTTGAAATCAAAGAGTCGTTGTAATGACTGGCTTCTGAAGTTTCAGAACCATGTGCGTAGCCTACATTCATTACATATTATCGAGGCTACTTCCGCCAATACGTTGATCTGAGGTTCATTTGCTTTGGATATTATGAGGCCGAACAAATATTTAATTGCCAGTTGACATTAGGGTTGCACAACAACATGGGCAAATTGAGGTGCATAAAAACGTGCCTAGAGTTGATTTTAACATACTGCGAACAGCAAGTGTACGACGTTCATATGATGGAGCCCACGACAGCAAGCATGCATTCAGTTCGCATTGCCTAGAAATGTAGTCGGAAAGCATTTCCTTGCCAATCAATCAGACTAACGCCACCAGAACACAATAAGACGATGTGACTTAAGTCGCGATTCAGTTGTTATTGGTTGTTGCCGCAGATTCCAACTGTGGCAGTTTACTGGTCAATTATAATGGCGGCAGTAAGCTCATTATGTAACGGGGTGATGATTCCTTATTTTCCGAAATTCGAACCCATCAATCCACATTGTTTTCACAGTGAGTGTAGAATAACGCCACGGTGGAACATACCATGGGAGAAACTGCAGGGTGGAACTAACCAAGTGTCTGATAAAGTTGCATCCCTCTGCTAGTGGCGTGCACAAAGGCACGCTGCTGAAGCCCATAGTGTTCCTGATTTACATAAAAATCTGGCCTAGCATTTTAGTAGTTGTATGCCTTATTTGCAGGAGGCCCTAATAGGGGATGATTAGTTCGCAATCCGGAAGATTGATGTTAACATCATCAGAGAATCACCCTCCTAATCGCATGGTCAAGAGAACACTGCTTGCAGGTAAGCTCAACTATGTTCACAGCTAACAATCTAAGGATGAAGCACTGGGTTCCCTGTACCTTTCTAGCTAACACAATGAGACGACGGGTGTTGCACGTAGATATGATTGCGCGCTTTCTGATCACACGCAAACGAGCGACATTTACCGAACTTGAAAAGAGAAAATTCGATTTGTGATGGAATGGGAGTGGAAGAAACAAACGGGCACAAACCCAAACAGAATCAAAATGTTTGAGACAGGTGTCATTATTCCCCAGAAAGCTTGAGGGTGACAGTCAGCTGTACTTACGCACATACTACAAGGACGACTGTGAGTAATTGCCACAGCCGCCGCGAGCTGCAGTGTCCTAGCGCTTTCATTACGGTAGATAACCGTAAACTCCTGGTTAGAGTCAATTTGATGACCCGTTTCTGGCTATCGAGAAGGCCGGTAATTTGGATCTTGACTCTTGTCCTTACCATCCTTTTGGTACAATTGTGTCAACCTAAGGATGGGTAAATGCTTTAGGTGTATCGTGAAAAGGCGATCCGAATCCGTGAAAAACAGTAAAATGCCACCTGGATAAAGAGTACCCGTGATCTGAGCGCCCAAACACAGTTTCTGTAGCTGGTCTGAAGATATTGTCTTGTCTCGTCCCCTCCTCCATAAGATCAATGCTAGAGTAGGTCTCGCCTGCCTCCTCTATGAACTTTAACTCAGACCCAGAATATTAAACGGATTCAGCACGTCAATGCCAGGCGCACCACCAGATTTTAAGTCTTGCTTTACAAGGACAGGTGCGAGAGGCATACTGTACACCCTGGCCTTTGTTCGACCTGATTTTGGCACACAACAGGCTAGGAGTATATGAATTTCCGGTGTAGAGACCACTTCTGCACCGGTGAACACCTTGCTGGACAAGCGGACATCAATAAAATCTTTTAGTACAAAAGCTGGAACGAGTTTCCCATGCCCTCTGTTTTGAACGTTGAGTGGTCAGTGTTTAGAACATGCAATTATAGTGAACACAGTTGAGAAATTCACTGCATTCTTTGATCAAAATTTCTCAACTATTGGGCTCCGTGAAGAGTTGCACATTGGCAACGTAAATTTTGCAGTTATGATTCTCGGGCTACAGCGATTCATACGTTTTACGGTATCACGTAGGAGATTAATAAATGTGAGCACAGTGTTGATCGTACATATAAAGTTTTCTGTACCTGTCCTCAAATCTTTGATCTTATTTTAATGAATTTGCGCGGTATTACATATCTGCTTAGTCCCATGCTGCAGTATTCATTAGTTAACATTTAATAGTCATCTAATATTATAACCCTTATGCGTTGAACAATTAAGAAAAATACTTGCACACAATTTGACTTTTCCAACGTATCCAGTATAACGTCCCAAACGCTAACGTAGCCTTATTTTCATTATTATGGGTAAACTATTGCTGGGCCCTGTCCGATGCCTAAAATGAATGACAATCCCAGTCAGGTTTCATGTGCTCTTGAATCACAAAACTGCGCTGTAACAAAATCAACAATTGACGTTTTCAGGACTATTGTATGCATACATTTTTGTGAAATGCCCTAAGCTGAAAGCCACGTCTGGTTAAAAGATAAAGAGATTGAACGCAGTTGATGCCAGCCTTATTCTCAGTATCTCGTATAGTTAAACACCTGCATTATAAAAATGTATTAGACTAGGCCAGTAAATCGTTCAAATTATGACTTACCTCATGTCACCTCTGTTTTTCATGCAGTCCGGTGATTCTCCCAGTGGCTGGTCTTGTCATAATGGATGCAGAAGTTTATCTGCTGCTCTCAAAGAGCGTTCTGGTGATTGCCCTCCGGAGATATGGCCGACAATTCACCGAATTCCAGGACTTTCTAAACGAGCGCAATCAATCGGTTGGATTGGTGGGAACAAAAACAGCCCTAACGAAATCGCATTAGAGGGCGAAGATATGCTTGGCAGGCATTTTAGTACACGCTGCTCTGAAGATTTAGAATGTGTGCGAGACAGAGAAAAGTGTTGTCAGTCCCGATGTAGAGAGGCTATATATCGAGATGGTAAGTAATGATATGTATACCTCTCAAACTGTTGAGAGGCTATGTCCACACGTTGACGGATCCCGTCTCACAAGATTTTGTAATTGATACTTTGTACTGGCGACACATACGGTAATGAGAGTAGGCTGTTGAGAGCAACTGTGACAGACGAGGCTTTGTTCTAAATTTCCTGAAGCGTGATTGCATGACCTGGTAAACTGGTGATCATAGGGTAATTACCTGACGATATCACGTCAAAATAAATAGGCAAATGGAATATACGCAATGTGTTTTACTTGTTGTAAAAGTATAAAAATGTGTAAAGGTATAGTTAAATGAATCCGGTCTAATCTGATACCAATAAGGATATTTTTGAAAGTAAGTCAAAAACCGGTGTTAGTATTTGTACTTTCGTTCTGTTAAAGTTCGTTAATTATCTGTTAGATAAACGGAAAAAGCGGTCGAAAATTGAAGCGTTTGAAAATGCCAGGTACTTCGTGCTTTCAAATAGACCAGTGCGCGTTCTCTAGCCTCAAAGAAAAAGCGATTTTGAGTTTGGAATTCTTTCTGGTTCTGACCTTATGTCAGCTTTTATTTATCTGTCATTATACCGCACCAACTGCGTTCGAACGTTTCGCGCACTTCGTTCGAGTTTTTCATAATTTTCAGCAAATTTACTGGTGAAAAGCTTCATATATTGCTTGTCTCTGAGAACCGCTGAAATCCTTTTAAGTAACAGAAACTTTGAAGAGCCGGTAATAATTTGTCACGGGATTGCATATATGCGGAATTTTCGATCAATCGAAAGCAGCCATTTTTCTCCTTCTGAAGAGATGCAGGACCTAAGTACAATCTAACTTCGATTATTCTTCCTTGTTTAGCAACGTTACCGACAGCTGAAAAGACAAGTAATTTAACTGGTTCCAGTATGCAAAATAGCACAAAGTTTAGTCACTTCAGATCGCTATCGTATAAAAGAAGGCGCGGCATGACCATCATTGAAATATTTTTTTGTATCACATATGTTAAATGTCGAAGGGAACCGCTGACTATTTAAAGAGAGAGCAGTTACTGATTCACAACTTTCATTTCGATCACTAAATAATGTCTTGGGCAGCATTGCACGAAATTACGCTAGCATGTTCAATTATTCTCTTGCAAAAGCGTACAAACGGATTGCAATATCCCGTACCTGAGCTCATTAGATGCTGGACTTGTCAATGCTTCCATAAAAATGCGCAGAACAAGAAATCGGTCCTGTAAGACACCGCAATGTCTATATGCAGAAACATAATTATTCACCGCTTTAACTCACTAATGTTTGACGGCTATATGACCAAAAATATGTTAGAAAAGCTTAGACAAATCGGCTCTATTATTCCAAGATTCTATAGACCCCAAATGTTTAATAACTGGGGACGTCATTGTGATCAACATTTGGTAAGCGGAACGCGCCGTAACACAAGTTGGAAAATTGGCTAAAATCTATACTGGAACCTAACAGAGAATAGATTTCCTTCACTAGCTGACAGGCACTTTCCAATTTGTCGATAGTGTTAAAAATATAAACATTCTATGCTGTCCGATGTTGACCCTGAACTTGATATATGTGTTCATTGGTGTCACGCCGCTAGAAAGAGTAAACCATTTTTGCGCCTAGTTTGACCAACAGTATACGCAAGGAGATACCAAGTGGCCCATTGGAGCAACTCCTTCACTGGTGCAAGTTCAACGTGAAACTTCCTTTCCACAATTAACTATGCACGCAAGTAGACCGACTTGGAATGGGATCCATCTTACTCTAAGTTTGACCGATGTCTACATGGGCATGTCGGAGGATGGCCTATTGAAACCGATTGTTTCCAATTTCATAATACACCAAAGCTACGTAGACGGTATTGTTAATGTAGAATACCAAGCGAACGGAGCTTCTGCAAGATTATACAAAGTGCAGATTATTCATATCCTTAGGTTTGTAGTGAATACGGCTTTGAAAATAGTTTCTTGATGACAAAGTTATAGTTTACATGAGAATAACGCTAATTGTCATGGAAAGAGAAATGCTGGAATAGAAGCCAATGAAAACAGTTTTCTACTGAAATCTTCTCCACAATGACGTCATCAATCCTCAATAGGCATTCCGTTGAAATATTAATAATCGGCCACATATGGATCCATCAAGCTAGCGACAAGGTAAATTCACCCGCATCCTGCTAGACAAATCCTTTCATTGTAATCTGTTTTGAATGAGACGACACCTGAGGCTTACTAATAATTTATCATGGTAAGGAGGTTCAGGTAAATAGCACTGAACTTCCAGTACAAGCATACGTTTGCTTGCTTGTACATATTATATCATATTCGAATATTTCTTCCTTGATTTAAACCTGTATCTCATCATTGCATCTAACAAGCGGTATTAAGGCTTTGCAGAGAAGAAACGCTACTCACCATGATTTGCGGTATGGTTCTCACGGCAATGATGGCTTCTACTTGAATATTTACAGACCGATAAAGCTTCTGAGCTCATCTTCCGTGCTAAAAGTTTCCTTTAGCTACCTACCCGATGGAACTGCTCAGTGATAATCCAATTTCCAAAGGCGGTAAACCAAATAAAGTATGGAACTAACGATGGGTCTATATGATCAATATTTTGGCAGACGAGATGGTCCTTTGTGCTTAAAAAGAATGCACACTGAGGCCCGCAGCGTACCGGCGTATAAATGGCTGCTCATACATTAATAATTTGGTTATGAAAAAGTATACATGGCTGAAGACGTTGAACCGGGGGTAGCTCATTCCAAGTGATCTGCATTTGTTTCATCGATAGTTCCCAAGGTTTAAATACCATGAAGTTCTGCTGTACGGCCTGGGAGCGTGCGGTATTGGTGGCTCACCAAACAAATTGATCTTCCAGTGTGTCGTTGAAATAAGGTGGAATGTAGAGATAGGTAGCTATCGAACCGATTTGAATGGTTCGACAAATAACGCACTAATGGGCACATAACGTATGTAGGCTTTTACGATGCACATTAGCCATCCGCCCCAGCTTCATTAGTCCCCGTTTGACATGTTGTAGCCGAGCTGAAGAGTTGGAGTAGGGTTAGCAAACACGATCGCAATGGTCTAAGACAGCCGAAAATCATCATTCGTCCTTCACTTTGTATAAGAAATTCCGCCTCTGAGTTAACCCAACCAAGTCCATAATTATCAACCCGTGGAAAGGTAATGACCGCTGAGACTGTGTTCTCTATGATCAACCGCCATATCCTACACATTCCGCGTAGGATCTAGGCGAAATTCCATGAAATCCGCTGACAAGAGTGATATACTATGCCGGAAAACTGCGCTTGTTTAGGGCGTTTATGTTCAAATTATTCAACTGATTTGTAGACAATACCACTCGTCTGTTCTCCTCAGTGCTGGTCCTAGCATGTAACCTGACTGTCTCTTTTCTGATCGTCTGGGACAATGTTGCAAAACGTGATCATATTTATTGTGACTGCTAGGCTTGCCCCCCAGTTTAGCAATGCTATTAAAAAGTACAAATTATCCTATTATCGATTTATAGTTTGCTACCGTTCGGCCCACCCGATATACATCTGAGTGAGCTCTTCGTGCTATTGCTGCAGCGCCGCATGCATACAATTACCCAGTCATCGTAACACATACGCAAGTTTGTAGTACTGTGTCTGAAGCGGATAACCCATTATCCATTCTTGGAGCGCGGAGCGTTAAGATTGGGAACACTTCGCCTTGATACTAGTCGTGCAAACATGAACTTAGAATGGAAGAATGTTCTAGCTTGCCGCGCAGCCGCCAGTTTTAGTTAAAGCATTGCAGCTAATTATGCCATTACACATAGGTAGTATGTTGCACATAAGTGTGAATTAACGTTGAACTGAGGAGCTGTCAGTTGCCTCATTGAGATTGTATGGTAGAGTAGTTATAGAACGGCGTAAAATAGGTTGATGCTATGAAAATAATAGCGCAGTGAAGGAGTAAGTGGACCACTTGAGAGCAACAAAGATGCTTCGATCCAGATAATGCGTGCTTCTTTGTGTGATGCCGCAAAATGGAATGGACATGGGCAACCTTAATTAAAGTCCGTGATATTTTCTCTGGATCACGACTCTGGATTAAATTAGATTGTTCTTAGATTATCCCTCAAAAATTGTGAAGTGCATATCTCCCCAGGATGTTGTTTACAAGTATTAATGCGCAAATAGGGTGGCCAAAAAATTGGAATCATCTAAATTTCACGGACGCCGTTGTTACTGAACCATTTAGTTATTGTACTTTCTTATCTTTTGAATCAAAGACTGCCTTGCACACAGCTATATTTCTAGGTGGAAAAGCCTTACCCACCTAATCCGCTTCAGTAGTTAGTTAGCTTAGTAGGTTATGCTCTTCGGCGTATCTTGACATAGTTATGCATAAGTTAACTCGCTGGATCGTTTAAGTTTAAGTCTTACTTTTGTGCTGGCATGGATAAGTTTTGTTAAATAATTATATAAAATTAACAGGGCACAATTGAGAACACATAGGTATATCAGAGAGCAAAGGTCGGTGATAGGTGGAATGGAGCAGCTGCAATTTCTCTAACAGCAAGCATTTCAATGTAGCTTATAATTAGCACTGAAACCTACCATGTTATCATAATCCATGGAGAAAATGCAAATTTGTAACATTATCTGATTTTATACCGACACCATAAAAGAAACTATGTGCAACAATTATAACTAACAATTCAGCTTGTTATTTTCGGATATTATGCAAACACTCGGTTTTCTCTACACTCCTGGCTCTTACTTGGTATAAATATTAATAGTACGACATTTTCCGTTGAATCCGCTATTATACATTTGCTTTGATGACAGACGAATGCTCCCCTTAATTACAGAAGCAAAAAGGGATTTTATTTCAAGTATAATCTAGATTTGTTCTCCTGTTGCAGTTATTGTTATCCATATATTGGCACCCAAAACGGAAGGATTTGCAAGCATTGGGATAAACTAAGTCAGCAATTGTTTAAAGCTCATCTTTAGAGATGTCGCATTATATTGTAATTTTGTCTCGTCCCATTAGATATTTTACCTCCGGCACCAACGGTACAGGTTTTGGAAGCCAACAACCCGCCATCATTCATACTTTCGTGGGGACAACGAGATTTGGGGAACAACTTGTCCGAACCGACTGTATATGTGTTGCAAGTGAAAAGCTACTTTGGACCGGATTATGACAGCCAACATGCTGGGGCATGGAGGACGCTGGTTATGGTATGTTTGTTATTAATATTCACTACTGGTAACTGCTATACTATAAGTACCTATCTGAAATAATATGCTAAGACAACGCATTTACATATATGAATCTAGTATTAAGTTTGCTAATTTTTGCACTTATTATGGTAAGGTGTATACAGTCATCTCAAGGATACAAACGAAGTAAAAATAACGTTTTGCTCAAATACCTCTTCATGCAATATATATTCTCGTCTTTGGCGTGAATGCATTTGCCTGCTAGAAAGAACAAAAAATTGCTGGTTAGTTGTGCTTTCTCACTGGTCTGCTCAACACAACCTATTTTAACGCAGTGAAGTCCGGAAAAATTTATGGTGATTATTGTAAGAACAGCGTCCTTAAGTCCAGCAAGAGTTTAAATAAGGCAATAATTTTATCAGACAAAATACTAGTAACGCGTGAGGTTTGTTATTTTTCCGTGGTATTCGCCAAGCTTTGCGATCTCATTGTAGATGATAAAGCGATATTCAAAATAAAATCATCATTGCACGACGAGTAGCTGTCTTGGAGCAGCAGTTACTAGAAGGTAAACCTAAAGATGGATGTTTTCAGCCACTGCTAGATTTTTTGTATAAGCGTGGGAGGATATTAATCTAAACTTGATCAAACAAAACATTTCATAAAAATGTTTAAGTTTGCTTAGTGGGATTCTCTATATCCGTATTCATCACAGAGATCGTCATACAGTAATTGAAAAGAGCCTACAAATAATTATGACTCAAAAACTGCTGTTGCACTGCGTTAAATATATTTTTCTGGCAATTAAATGTAGGCAGAGTACGATGGCACAACAAATACTTAACGACGCCGCCGAAAAAATCTAAGTTAGCACAAAATAAACGAAAGGAATAAAACGTCCTACATCAAATATTTTAGCAAATAAAAAGATTGGATGTGACTATTTCATCTAGCAGAAAATCTCACACAGAGCAGATACTGAACTCTCACGGTAAGCACCCCAAAAGTCACAAAATAATCTGGATGTAACAAACGTTTCCCAGAACAACCGGACATCAGCACGAGGTAAACATATCAAGTGCAAGTAAAACACCTATTTAAGTCACTTTAGTGCAACGGGCACCCACTAATTATTCCCCAAGGATAGTTGAACCATTAGCCTAGAGAATCCAAGTATATGCCAGTGAAATCTGAGCGGATCCTTTTGCCATAAATCAAGAACACATGCGAAATAACCTCCACGTTGTTCAAACATCATAATATCATACCCCACAAGCCAGCTGTTACTCTGAGAATAACATTATCAAGAGGAAAAGAAAACCGGTGCCTCAACTTCTGATATATGATCATTGCGCCAATCCAGGTGCGAGAGCTCCGACCGCACCGCAATATTATTTGTGTAATCTATGATAATCATCCAATCAGAGAAGATAAAACGACGTATCGGAACAAAGTTAACTTTCCAGTTTCATATGCCAGGGAACGACGTAGTGGCTGACAGTATTCATCCTTGGATTCGCTCCCCACTAGCTCCTGCTTTGAGGCTGCTGCCAATAATTCACTCATGTTATCTCGAATGGCAATGAACCGTCTGAGAGCAAGTTGCCCCACACGGCAAACTCCCCAATAACTGCGCGACACTTGCATGATTAGCAGACCGCCACATCAAATGCAGCTGTTTTTGAGTGCTCTGCTCAGCTGGGTGCTACTGTGCCCACGATACGAAGCCTAAACTAAATACGTCGTACGAAGACTAACCTAGAAACTACGAACAAATAAACCTAGACATAACGCGCGGTCTGGGCAGAAAAATTAAACGAATTATCCTGTAACCGTGATTCTATAGGGCATATTAAAAACACTACATGACCTACGATTAGATTATGCAATGGTTGTGCAAAAGAGCAGAAATTGTGCAGCGTGCGATTATTTGGTTACTCTCAAAGTATGATAAAATATGCATGACCTTGAAACGTCAAGGATATGTCAGTGATAGAGAGTGAAATGAATAAATACACGATATGGAAACCGATTGCAGGACACAGGGTAATGCAAGGTAAAGTGAGTAGAATAATTAGGCAATAGAAATTCCTTGTCCTCAGGTAGGCAATCCAGGTTGGAGATACATCAAAGTTCCTATCGAACTTTACAGCTTCCGTGGAACGTCTTAAGAATATAAGATATTTTCCAATAACAGTGGATATTTGTACAATACTCCTATCATTTCATTCACCGGTTTGTAAATTTGATTAGGTATTGTGTAGTTACGCATGCACTTATCGTGACAAATGGCATATATGTGCTTATAGAGATGCACCTAGCCTTCCTTTAGAACGGAGTAATACGAATAACAGCTACAATGTTTACATTTCTGAAGTGTATTTTGATGTTCATTCCAAATCTGAAATCAATCCAGCTTCCTTAATTTTTGATAACAAGTTACAGGCCTACCCTCCTCTTTAAACCCTTCTCGTATGTCGCGAACATTAATCTTATTAACATCAAAACTGTGTAAATTATCGATAGATATAATATCAGTAAGTTATGTAACACGTATTTACTTATACTGTAGATTTAACACATTGAATTTCAGCTTTAATGTTAAAGCGTGATATAGCAAAAGTAGCAAAAGAAAGGTTATATATGTTTTCACAAAATCGACAGCTAAGGAAGCAAACATCCTATTTGAAATCAGTGCATTAATTAAAGCTTAAATTATGTTGCATTTGCCATTTTTGACGTGAAATTTTATACGACCTGGTAATGAATATTTAGCGTCATGTACCTGTTGCGCCAAGTAATAGTGTACATTTAACCAACATGTTACTCTTATTATTTGAACGAACGTCAACATAATGAAATATAAGAAAGGAGCTCACCAGTAGTTGTAAATTAAAGCTGCTTGCTGCCAAATATTCGTGAACATAGCTATGCTTTTCCAAAACGTAAACATGTGTGTTACAGTGTTTTGATAATTTCAACACACATAGGGTGTTTTATAAATGGCATAGCTTGTGGGTGAGATTGAGACGAAAGGGGAATATTTAAGTAACCAATCCGCTGTCTTGTGAAAACGAATAAACTCAAGTCAATCTGTTTCCCGAACTCAAAAAAACGAACTACTGACTGTGAATTTTTGAGTCACTACTCGCAACTCATAACAACTATTGGTTAGCTAGAACGATCACTTAAAGTGTGAAATGGTATATTAACCAATTCTGGCTATTCCGGTTAAATGAATCCTCTGTGAAACTTGGTTTGAGTTTAATTCTCTTCGTTGATTTCATTTCTCCGCAGGAAACTAGAATGGCTAGGTTGATCGACGTTAATTCACACAGACTTTCATCGCACTATGCTGTCTCCGCGTTTATGTGAGATATAGAATCCATCGTCCAATTAATCTGAGTTTCATGCAATTGACATCCTTTAGTATTAAGGAAGTATGGAGTAAATTGTGTGATTTTTCTTTTCCAGACGTTATGGGGGGTCAGGTACTGTGGACTTTCTAAATTGCACGCATATTGTTAGAAGCCAATTTGGCTGCCTTGTGTGAGGCAGAAGTGTCTCAGTATTTCTAATAGTACACAAATAGTTTCGGAAGTTGCACACAAAGCATTAAAACTTTAATAACTAGAAAGGAAAATATGAAGGCATGAAGATAGTAGAAGTGATCGGACTAACACTTTGGTAGAACTTCGACTACGTTTGCACATAAATATGTTGTTGACACATGTAGTAATCTCAAACTTTTTCGAGCACTGTATGCAGAAAAGGGATGGAAACAAGACTGCGATTTTTAGGAATGGATAAGTTCTTTGGAAACTTATACACTTCGGATTGTGTGAGCCTGATAAGTCCTAGTTACATTGCCTTAGAAATATTCCAGGTTTGAACAACGTCATCAATAGCAGTACATCAGCTATTTGAACTGATACATTGCTGCCATCTAAACATTTCGGCTTTCAGAACCAAGAACAATAAAACGGAGAGAATGGGAATTACTGAAAAGCCTTACTTCCCTAAGCAAAATTTCAGGGTCAATGATCATACACTTTGTAAACAACATAATACCACAATAAGTTGGCTATCGTGCAAAGATCAAGCGGCATCGGCGGGACAGCTTCCTTAATACTTTCACTGCCCAACGTTATAATCAGCCGTTACCCGAAGATACCTTAGCACGAAAACCCATTGACCAGGTAGTCCGACTATGAGAAGGCAACAGACGCGCCACTGGTTCCTTCTGCGAATCATATCCTGTTATGTATTGAGCCAGGCACAAGACGAGTCACGCGGACTCCAGCCTGGAAGCCGAGACAGTCCGACGTCATCAAATTTGGTCATCAGTGACTTTATTCCTGCTGCTTAGTCACTTAGTCCGCTGCCTGCGGACATGCTGCTGTACACCGACACCAGCAATGCTCTGCAGATAGCGATGCTCAAAGATTTGAAGGTGCTTCAGCTCCTCAGACCGAAGATGCCGTCTCTTAACCATATAGTAGAACGACTTTTGCTGTGGCCATGTGAACAAGACCTTTCAGACGGAAGGAAACTAGCTTCTCTTGTTCAAAATGTTTCAGCTTCACAAAGTCAGTTCTGGTTTTTGCAACACGCAAATGGGCTTCAGTTTCTATGCACCCAACTTTGCTGATGCAGCTGCTAATGAATCGAACAACGACTACAGGTTCCTCAAGATTTGAAGGTGCGAACCACATACTAAATAAAAGTACCACTCTAGTGAGGATATTCAGCATCGATTACATCACCACAACATTGTTAAACAGCAAAACGATGTCGTCCGTCTAATATTTGTCAACTGGCATTTCACCTCGCAGCGCCTCAACACCTGCACATAAAGTGAACATTACATGATGGAGTGCACGAAAATATTGAACAAAAATGTAAACTCGGTAAACCTCGACAAATGCCAACTGTTGTCAGAAATATATTTGGTAGATCACCGGGGCCCTTGACGCAACCTGTACTGTTCTAGTATGGAGTATGTAAAATGCACAACTATTTCGATAGAAAATATTTCCGTGCAAGCATATCAAAATATTGCGTCGATAGAATGAATTGAATGCACTATTTAAGTCTCTGAACACCGCTATTCTTCCGCTTCGGCATGCTGCCGTAACGCTTACCGCTGGTTGATGATGTGATCAGTACAACCAAGTTTAGCACGGATAGCTGTCTGCTGTTTTCAAATCTCGGATTCCCGTTTCACTTTGAAGCAACGAACGAGAATAGAGGCCAGTACGTTTGTCACAACTTCTGTTAGACCAATCACCTGTGGTTAACACAGACAGTGTAGCTACCACTCTTATATATTGCCACTATAGTCGAATCACTACAGTTAGCCAGGACGGTCTCTTCCTTCCAGTCAGGTTCGAACAGGGAGGTCCGTGCTTTGCAGAGGACATCACCACCATCCGTAAATAGTACACGTAGAGGCATCCGGACCAGCAGCACGAAAAGGATTGAGGGTGCTGATCGTGTTTCGCACCTCAAACTCCGTTGGAGCATCTAATATAACCAACCATGGCTTATCCTCCTTCACTTGTGTAGGAAGAGTTCCGGAAACAGGGGACCAACTGCACTGATATTGAAAAGGTTTCACCCAATCAGCTATACTGCACCACTTATGGTGAATCAGTGCACCCGCGCTCTCCGTGATTGTCGCACTGACGCTTGTTTTCTTGGGTCCACTTGTGCGGATCAACTGGAGGAGCCTGTGCTAATTGCATACTTCTGTCTCCTCCATTTCTTAAGACTAACTGGTTCACCAGGCTTCCGTGTCACCATGTAGCTGCTGCTTAAGTTCGCACCTAATAGTCCGTCTGTTCACAGTATGCTCAGAGCCAACAGGGCGACTTTTTCTGGGTTCCAACAGCTTAACCGACCTCTCGGATATCCAGTGACTGCTACGCTGACGACTGTTAGTACCACAGGCGCGTGCCGCTGCGTCATGCACGGCGGCAGAAAACTTGTTCCACTGAAGCTAAATGTATTTAGGAAAAGAGAAAAGAAGTTCGGTAAGCAGAGCATCTTGGCAGGTTTGCGTGACCGATAGCTAGAAAAATTGCTAAGGTGCCAATAGAGAGACGCTTAATGCGCTATCCGAAACAGATCGTGGAAAACGACAGCGTACGGAGAAATGATCGGAGTCAACTCGAGTACTCCAGAACGAGCGGCAATCAAGGATGGAACAACGCCAATTGTAAAGTAATGCAATTTGTTTTATTAAGGTTCACCTCTGGTCAGCTACAGGTAAGTGCCAATGGGCATTACGAGGCCCACTGTGTCGAAAAGTCGATTTTGCAGTACATTACCGTCACATGTTTATTGACGAGATATTAAAAGTGCACGAAGTATTGCACTCTGAGATCGTCATGTTTATTAAAACGGATGAACGCTTGATTATTAGCTGAATGTATACCTAGGGAAGATAGCTAAGTACATACACTTCTGTCAAAAATAAGAAAATTGTTATTAACCTATGGCTTCCCCCAAATATTTTTGCATTGAATAATTTTCTGTTTTCTGTTCATAATGTTTGCATTAAATCAGTTTTCTTTATCACGTACGTGTTACACAATTATAAGGTGTAAGCCATTTTAATCCTTAAATCGTATTCAAGGAGCGGGCAGTACCTCCACTTTTCCAGCTTTGTCCCGGTCGCATACAAACGTGGCCTAGTGAAAACGCTTTTCAACAAAGCCAGACGAATATGCAGCCCCGAAATGCTGCAAGCTGAAGAATAATGTTTGTTCAAAACCTTGGTGTCAAATGGGTATCCTGAGAAGTTCATTCAGATCCACAGCAGACCTCCCAAGGAGAAAATACCGGTGTTAACCGCAGAGAAAAAGAATGTTTACTTGTTCTTGCCGTTCAAAGGAGACCATGTATCGAATGATATCGGACATAAACTCCGGTCCGCCCTTACGCGCACCTATGCGACCGCCCAGTTGCGACTCATTCACACAACGCGAATCCTTGTTCTTCATGACCATCAAAGCAACTCATCAGTCAGTTCGGCCTCTCAAGACGTTTACCAGTTCACCTGCGGTTGCGGTGACATTTACATAGGCAGGACTGACCGTCAGTTAGCTCAGAGGGTAGCTTAACATGTGCCGAGGTAAGTGGAGCAACTGATGACGCAACAAAACGGAGTGCATCCGAGGATGAACAGGAGTCCCGCATCATCTATCACCAAGCCTCTCGTGGTAACCCGACATCAGGTGAACCCAGGGACTGCGTTCAAGGTGTCATTACGAAACAACAATCCGATTATCTTGGCAATTAGTGAGGCTTTGCTAATTAGGGATTATCAACCTGTTTTGTGTGCAAAGAAACCATTGAGACATTCAATTAGGTTACCGTGGTCTTGATTTTGACATTTTGATTGGTGTGCCAACATTTACCAAGTGTATATAACTGTCCGTGAATCCCGCTTGTATTTTGTTTGCGACTGAAGAGAACCATCGGCATGTTAACATATCGCGACTTATGTCTTCTCACTGCTCTGACGAAATCTTATTCCGTAAATAAAAAGTCTGCTAGCTATAATACTCTCCAACGTTACCATGTTTAAAAAAATTTAGCTAAGACAAAGCTTTCTGTGATTATCTAGTCTCAAGCTGCTAAATGTCAGTTACCCAATAGTTGCTTGACCACCTTACTAGAATGCACAACTGGTGTGACGTAGTTACAATCTCCATACGTAGTCATATTAACTCGAATACGTCAAAATTTTGCGATTATTCCTTGTTGTTACTTATTAACCACCTCAATAAATAGTAGAAAATGCGAAAGCGCTTTCCGAATGCTCAGCATCTAGAGTTTTTGCGTGACTACTAGATTTCTCCAAAGTTAGGGAAATGCTCAATTCAGGTATTCATCAGTTGCTTATTAAAACGTTGAAAAATGACATGAATTAATTTCAAAAGGGTTGAATTTGCAAGTCCCTGTTCGTAAGAATTTTAGATAAACTGGTTTTAGACAGCCTAAGATCCAAAATACAGATAACAGCTGAAAGCTTTTTCGGTCTTAAAACGATTGCGGCGAAGCAACTTGAAGATGTACATGTCAAACCTGGGAACAGCGAATAAGAGGCATGTAATTGAGAACAATAAATCATTGTATTCTGCTGCATTCATTGTCAAGTTATTGCTATCGTTAATCGCGGGTCTTGGTTGTACTACACGAGGTATTTAAAGGATGATAATAAAGGTGCTCGGTAAAACATTAAAAGACCACTGTAAGATGTAATATAGTAAGGGAGAACACAATTATCCATTTGGAGATGTGAAGCTCACAAATCGGTTCTCCTTATTTCAGACTACTTTGATGGACGCCCAACTAAAAGAACCTCTTGTCGGCTGGTGGTATCAATTCCAACTAACCGCGGTGAATCGATTTGGCTCCCGTGGATTTGAATTTCTCTCTCCACCAGTTCAGCTGAGTAATCAGAAACCCAAGCCGCCTTCACCACCGGTCAATCTGACCTGCAATTACATGGCGCTTCAGATGAACGGTACAATTGCGGCGGAGTTTCAATGGGTACCACCAACTCAAACCAGCATCCCTGTGACAGAATATATTGTGAGTAGTTTCCGGAATATATATAAAGGGGTAAATTCAGATCCGGGTTATATGCTGGGTCTTTATAATCTCACCGTCTTATCAAGTCAACCGCGTAGATGACTTTCCAATACCTATTTTCGCGACAAACCTACTCGCACAACGTAACGTACGCGGACATATGTTCACGTGAGTCACAGCTTATCAGAGTAGAATCACTCTATGCTATTTTACAAACAGCTGGCTAATGAAAGAAACATAATTCCAAACACGCCCAATGTCAGGTTTCAGACTATAATTCCTCTAATATTATGATGCATACGTTAAGCTAGGCTCATTCGCAGACATTAGCAACGACTCTCCTAGGGTTAAATGTTGATCTGTTTAAGGTCTTACATTGAATTTCGTTTCAACAGTGCGGCGATATGCGTATCTTGCTGTAATACTTTAATTTTTATTCAGGATACAAAATCAGTTTAGAGAGTGATTAACCAGAAAAGTTTTTCCATCCCTTGAAATGCCTTATAACTGTACATCGATAGTCATGCAATGGGGAAAAATATAGAACCTGCTACGTTAGGTGTTCCTAAATTTAACCGGACAATATGACGCCAGGATATCTAAAATTGACTCAAAAACTACTAGAAGCTGTTCAATTGTCAGCAAATTACAGATCAAAACTTGGAGATCATTTCACAAACGTCTTACTAGATTATTTAAAAGTTTTTACCATGTATTAATGAAGGCAGAAAACATGACGTTCGTGTAAGTATAGAGAAAAGGCTGAAAGGAAGAACATTCAGTGTTCAAAGTGGTATTGAAACATCCAGAAATCTAATAGTTGTCACCGACTTACTCGGAGAAGAGGTCCAATGAAATACAGGACACAGACCAGTGATAATTATAATGCAACAATCCAGGTGCTGGTTTTTCTTAGGCGAAAAGCATGACCCCATTTACGTAGCCTGTTTAATAAATGAATCGTAAACTCCATCTCATTAGCAGTACTGTATTGCCCGTTTTCATAACCACATTGCACTCGTCATTAACTGCTGCTTGGAAACTGCCTTGACTAAAAGTTCATCTGTGGCGCGCTGCTAATTATAGTATGAGAGGAACAGAACAGGCGGGAATCAGTCAGAAACCAACATCGCGTACAGCTGGAGGTAGAGTCAGAACGGCACCGTCAATGAGCCCTACTGTTCTGTGTTCAAGCTGTTATGCCATCTAGACGTGCGCTCCTTAATCTAAAACTCGTTTGCATCTCGTTACGCTCGTACCACCTAGATTGAACCTAAGAAGTAGAATGCAAAAGTGGTGATCTTCGACGCGATACTGCTTTGAATATATAATCTGTATCTAAGAGAATATTATTCTTTCACTAACTGACCAAAGTATTTGTAATAACAATTGCCTGATGTAATTGGTTAAGACCCATCTCGAGGGACAGATGGTGTCCGCGTGTCCGCACATGCAAATCGGCCTACTTGAAAGCAAAGCAGAACTTTACATTTGCAGTATTTAAAGCAAACGGCACTTTGATTCGACCGAAGAAGGTTGGACGCGTTTATTATCAATATTTTGCACAAAAGCTACTGCACTCTCATTACTGCCATCAGTAATATGCAAACCGTACTTAAAGCATGTCTATGTGACTATATCCCTGCCAACTAAGGTGATAGATATATTGTTCTTCAGGTACACTTGTGTTTAAACGCGACCGGCGCTTGCAGCGATGTTCCAAATGTGCCCAAAAAATGCAACAAATGTAATAAAATTCGTCCTTCGGTGAGTTGTACTGTAGTAATATGAAAGACCAATGTAGTTTCCTGACTTGATTCAAGTAACTTCGCTGAGTGGTCGCAATCTACTTCTTTAAATGTTCCAGGTTTAATTGTTGGCTAGTTGGCCATACTTTACTTCAGATTTATAGACGTTTGGTCCACAAGACACTTTACCGAAACATGTGAAGACTTTTTACAGGCAATTATTAATAACGATTTTGCACTGTTCTAAAACACATAGTATGCGCAAATACACTTAAGATCTTTAAAGAAATACCAGGTTTATTTCTGCAGACAACATAAACTCCATTTGTTGAGCACAAGGCTACAGAAGATAACCGCTGGGGTGGAGTATCGCAGAAACTCGGACGCATCGTTTGCAGATGCTTGTGGCCGGACGACTTGAACACTGAAACAAAATTCAGCTGATGCACTGTTTTCGACTTCAAATAACGGTAAAAATTAACCCAATGCCCCGACACGTTCGTAGTAATGGAGTAGAGTAGTATTCACCAAAGCACTGAATTTATCTATTTTGTAACTGAGGCACGAGTGGTTACTTCTCCATTTAATGCTTCACCGACAGGGCGTGCTGTGGTAAAAAAACCCACATACGAACATAAATATAATTGCACCAAATTATTCCCAAATGGTCACTATGCCATGGCTGAACGTGTCGAGCTAACCTGCTGAATCTTAAGTGGTTCCGGTGATTGTTTTGAATGAGATTGTCTACTACATCGAAAACGCGTGTTGAAAACATCTGCAGGACTAAACAAAGTCTATTATTAGTTATGCACAACGGAACTTCCTATGAGTATACACCATTATCAATAGACGTACGTCGTATCCTAGCATGATCAGCTCATCCTGTTCAAGGGCTAGATTCGTGGTATTCGTTTTCAAATGCCACAAGACAGCAATGCCCACTTCAAAATAATGATAGATGAAATACAACCGTGGCTATAGTTTCACAAACTCGTTGTAATCCGTTCAATTTATCACAAGACTTAAAACTATTGTGAAGCTATGCGCAGCAATATTGGTTATAAAGGCATATTTTGAACACTGCTTGGAGAAGCAAAGGTTAGATATATAGGTTATGAATGGTACTGACGTTTGAACGAACCTAAACCACAAGTTGAGTTTCTGCGTGAGTTAAAATGGGATTGATTTATTCTAGTAATTTCAGGAATCATTGAACTCAAGGAAACACTACTAACTTGCAGAAAATGCTCACGCATACGGTGCTGTCTGCGGCTGGGATTTAGGCAGGGATGCAGAAGAAATATATAATTGAAAACTTTTAGTGGGGTTTTCCATATATTTGTACAAAAATCCACGAGCCTCATAGCGTTCGGTTCTGTGGATATCAAGCGACCATGACGAAGATGACTTCATTTAACCTGAAAAAATGGTGGCCGTCAACCCATGCAAGGCACATTGCCACAGAGTTACTAGTATATAAAAGGTGCCACAATTAAATGATCCGCACACGGACATGGCTGAGGCTTCATTGCCCATAATGTTTGAATAAAAGCACCCAAAATAGCCTGTATCAAACAGGTGATGGCTTATAGGTTACTTTGCCCTACCGCCGCAGCGCCAGGAAAGACAATGTATTGCGGACGAAACCTTTCGCGGGAATACCCTGCATGAACGCAGGTCCCATGGGGCGGTTCCACGGATAGCCATATTGTTTTACCTGAACATTTGTTTATATCCTTATTCGTTATTGTTCCCAGCTTTGCAGTTTCTAATACCTGAAACCTGTCAATTTAAAATCCATTTTGGATCCATTGTATAAAGCTTCAACAAATAATTCTTTATGCACTCCTGCAGTTAGACTGTGCCTCGCATCACCGAGGCATATAACATTTATTTATTTATTTATTTCTGCACAACCGTGGAGGGAGACTAACCAAAAGAGTCCGGAGTTATATTTCAACAGTATCTGTAAATAATGGAACAATGGAACAATGGTTTATGACGGGTATAAAAGCAATGCTTGACAGGTCCCGTAGGATGATGAGAATTAACATCGTAAAATTAAAAAATCGTATCAATGAAAGTACGTGTGAAATGCATGACTCACCAAGGGATTGGAGATGCACATAAACAAGTAATCCAATAGGAATTTTAAGTGGATTCCGTCCACGTTCGTTGTTCACTAATACCATCATCTGATGGTCGCACGTTATATCACATAGTGCAATCGTGTCAGAGTTTCGTCAAGGCGTTTTTTGAAAAGGGATAGGGTGGGAGCGTTAATTACATGTTCTGGAAGGGCGTTCCAAGGTTGTGACACTCGGAGGGAGAAGAAATTGCGTCGACATTCCAGTCGACTGTACTGTGTGATCAACTTAAACTGATGACCTCTTAGGGATGCGTTTTGACTACGTTTCAAAAGGGAATGACACGTGTGGTTGGGGGTTCTCAGTATCCGGTACACCAATATGAGATCGCCTCTCAAACGGCGGTAACGTCCACTGTATAAGTTAAGAGTTTTCAGCCTGAGTGGGTAGGGAAGGCTGGAAAGACCTTTGACGTATTTTGTCGCTCTGCGTTGTGCAGTATCGAGTGCAGTGTGGTGGCACTTCTGCATTGGTTGCCACGCTTGAATAGCGTATTCTGTGTGCGGTCTAACAAAAGCGCTAAGCATTTTCGGAAAGATTGAGGCGTCAAACTTCCCAAACGCTCTACGCAGAAGGCCAAAGTGTTGGTTTGCTCTCTTGGAGGCCTTTTCGGTCTGCATTAAGCACCCAAGATCTTCTTGTACAAGCACGCCAAGATCGCACTCATGAGAGGTCCGCTGTAGAATGTCAGGTCCTAAGCGGTAGTTATACGCACTCTAATGGCGTATGCTCAAGATTTTGCACTTTGTGGTGTTGAACTGTAGCATGTTCTCGTTTGACCACTTGTATGCTTTGTCCAAATCATCCTGCAAGGCTGTGTGATCCTCTCCTGAAGCTATGGCACGCCATATCTTTAGGTCATCTGCAAACAGCAGAAAGTTGGAAGATAGTGCAGCTGCAAGATCATTTATGAAAACAATGAACAAGCGAGGCCCGAGTACCGATCCCTGAGGTACGCCACACTGAACTTCGATTGGTTCCGACAGGGTATTTCGGACTCTCACATTCAGGTGACGTTGAACGAGAAATTCGCCTATCCATCCTAGAATAGGATTGCCGATACCACAATGCTGCAGCTTGTTCAGTAAAATCCGATGGTCCAGTCGGTCGAATGCCTTAGAGAAGTCCAAGTAGGCTACATCCACTCCGACTTCGGCGTCCACAGACTCTGTCCAGTTTGAACGAGCAATCAGCAAATTAGTTGTGCAGGACCTGCCTTGGCGAAATCCGTGCTGCGCCGGAACGAGGATGTTGTTTTTCTCCAGGTACTCCATGAGGGCCTCGGCTACAATGGACTCCATGATCTTGGAGATTACCGGAAGAAGGGTAATCGGACGATAATTAGTTGGATCTGCACGGCTACCATTTTTGTGGATTGGAGTGATGATCCCGTGCTTCCACATCGTTGGGACGTGCATCTCGTTAAGGCATCGCTGAAAGAGTGTCGCCAAAGGTTCAGCTAAGCTCGTGGCGGAAACTTTCAGCGCTTTCGGCCGAATGCCGTCCGCACCCGGGGAGCTAAATTCGCGCAACGACATCAACCGCTTCAATACAGCTGCAGTTGTGAAGAAAATGTGGTTAAGGCCTGATGGCGGAATAAGTTGCCTAGATATGGTGCAGGATGTTGGCACACACTGGAAAGTACGGCCGAAGTGTTGTCCTAGGACGTTCGCCGCATCCTGTGCCGTATGTGCTAATCCGAAAGTTGTGCGCAGAGCCGGAATTCCGCGCTTAACGCGGCGAAGCTTATTTATGTGTCTGTATAGTAGCTTTGGGTTAACGCAGAACTTTGACACAAGATCTTGTTGGCTCTTTACCTTATCCTCCCTGACGAGTGTGACACAGTGGTTTCTTTGTGTAATATAGGTGTTCCAAGTATCCTCGCTCGGAGAGGCTATATGGGCGCGCCATGCCAGATCCCTCAATCCCATGCATTTCCGGGTCCTGCTTCTGAGAAACGACTTTGCCTTGTCAGGTCAGGGGATTTTGGTTTTAGATGCCAATGCTACGAGCGTGTTGAATTTGTTGACACATTTCCCGCATGCCACTTCTGGGGAACACTCAGTTAAGAAGGACCAGCTCGTAGCACTAATGAGTCCTGTCAGGTTAGCGTACTTGGTTACGACGTAAGATTCCACGTTGCTTTCATTAGGATAATCTGCATAAAACAAGTATTGGAACAATAGTGTCGCATGATCGCTGCGGCCCAAGGGAGTGGATGTAATTTACTACGTCAATCATCAGATCCTTATTGATGAAAACGAGGTAAAAGATGGCCGGTATGTTTCCTGTCCTGAATCGCGTTGGGGATGTGACATGGTTGTACAGCGGTGATCCTGCAATTAGCTCTTGTGGATCGGCTTTGAATGGTTCACTCATGGTGGCTGGGGTTTCTAGGCCGTGCAGATTGAAGTCCCCTACCAGCAAAACATGACTGTATGACCGTTCCAGTAAATTCTTAGAAGCAGAAGACGGCCTTGTCCATTTCTAAAGTGGACATTGGTGCACGATATACGATGGCCAATAAGCATTTATCGCCGTGCTTTAGGTGTAGGCAGCACCATAAAGAGTCTACGGTTTGAATCCCAGGGTCGTTCATGAGCTCGATGAGAAGGTCTGAACGGTAGTAGAGAATTACACCACCGCCCTTGGTGGGTCGATTGTTACGCAGTGGTGACATGCCAGGTAGTTCGATCTCAGCGTCACTAATCATGTCGTTCAGCCACGTCTCAGTTATCATGATGAGGTCCCAACATATTGAGCTATGACGAGATCGAAGTTCTGCCAATTTGCTTAGAAGACCTTGGGTGTTTGTATAAAGGCAATTGAGAACTACGGATGTTAGAAGCGTGTTTGAACATACGTTGGTTTTCCGAGAATGTACGCCGACCCT